GAGCTTGCAGTGAGCTGAGATCCGGCCACTGCACTCCAGCCCCTGCGACAGAGCGAGACTCCGTCTCAAAATAAATAAATAAATAAATAAAAATAAAAATAAAAAATAAAAAATTCAAGAAAAAAGTTTAAGAGTTGGGAAAAGATTAAACAAAGCTGACAAAACACCGGTAACTGCTAACGGCAGGAACAGGCACAGGAGACTCTGTGGCAGCTTCTTTCTACCTTGGGGGAACACACTGGGTGAATTCATGACGAAAAGTGTGGGACATGTAAGTTTCAGGTGAGGTGGAATTCGCATTGGCCAGAGTGTTCTCTGTACTGTGTGCCTTGGAAATACTTCACAAGAGCGGTGGGGACCGTGGGTTTTGCGTGGGTGCTGTGTGATGCTGCAGTCTCCTCGCCTGGCCAGGGCCTCACCGCCTGCAGCTTGTCCAGGTTGTCCTGCAGCACCTTCTCGGTGTGTCTGTAGGCCTTGGCCACCAGCAGTCTTGCTTCCTGCGAATGGAGGGAACTGTGTCAGGGCAAGGCTGGCCGCCTGGCTCCGGCACCAAAGCACAGAAAAGAAGTGCCAGGCTGGGAACACGGCCTTTCCCCTCCCAGGAGGAACAGGACTCCTCAGCCAGCGGGCGGTCTCCTGCCCGTGACCACTGCCGGGGGAGCAGAGCTCCACATGCCGCCCGCCCACCCACAGCTGCCTCACAGGCCTTTCCTGGCCCAGTCTGAAGGCTATGTGGGCCCTGCGTCTATTGCTCAGTGAATTTATTTGATATTCTTCCCAGATTCACATCTATAATTTCATTAGGAGCATCTATGTCCTCATCTGAGAAAAAAATACTCCACAGGTAGGAACTACAGCAGAGCCCAGAAGGAAGAAGCCCACGTGGGGCCTGCAGCTGAGCTCAGCTGTGGCGGCCGTGGCCGGCCCTTGTGTGGCAGACCCAGGGACTCCCTTCCCGGGGAGCACGGAGTGCAGCAGTGCGGCCAGAGCCGACTCACATGGTCCATTATCTGCTGCAGGCCTTGGCTGAAGGGGCGCCGCCCGATGCCCACGAGTCCCTCTTGTGCCTCAGGGAAGGAGATGGGGCCGATGCCAGGTGCCATCCCAAACTGCTTCACCATGGAGTAGGCAATGCGGGTGACCTTCCTCAGGTCATCCTGTGCCCCTGGAGGGTGGGGTCAAGACAGAGGGATCCTCAGCACTGCAGGTGCACAGCAGGCGTCCCGGTCAGCGTCCTGGGGCAGCACCGTGCCTCCGCATCCCCTTCCTCCCGAGGAGTCCCACCGTGAAGCTGGACAGTGAGGACGTTGGCACCTCGCCACTGTTCCTTAAGGGAGTCTTAAAACTTTCAGAAATGCTCTTTTATTTGGAAATCTAGAACCTGGGGGGCATACTGGAGCTCACTGCACGGCAGTTCTCAAGCACCAGCCCAGGCCTATGCGCGGCACACCCACGGACCTGGAGCCCTGGGACCCTCCTTCAGTCTCTGGATCTCCCAGTGAAGTGACAGCTTCAGAACAGTGAAGCTGCTTCCATTTCATTCCGTTTCCTGTAGCCATTACCAAGAATTAACCAAGTAAATGCGTTTAGAGTTGGCATACAGGTTAAGTTTTTTGTCCAGTTAAATCATCTAAAAAGTCTTGCTTAGCTCCAAATCTCCTATGACCACAACTTATCCTTTAAAAACACTTAATAAACTCAAAACTACATCTACACCAGATTCACCCCACGGCATTCACTGGAACAGAAGGAATAATGCACGGAAAAGCACTCTGAAACCTCCGGGGCCCACGCAGCCGCTCCTCACCGGAAGTGACCTTGTTGAAGGACAGTGCTTCCGAGGCCCGGCCCCCCAGGGCCATGCACATCCGCTCAAACAGCTGCTCCTTGGTGAAGAGGTACTGGTCTCTGGGAAGCATCTGAGCAAAGCCCAGGGCGGCGTTCGTCCGAGGGGCTATGGAGACCTGCACAGGGTCAAGATGGCCCACGTCAGTAGGCAGGATGTGGGCTTTGAGGAGGAAGGTGTGGGACTAAGAGGTCTCCATCATTAAAGCGTCTCAAAGCAGGAAAGCAAATCAGCATCTTTTACAAGAGAGGACCCTAACACCACAGACGGCCAGCCCAGAGACAGCAGGGTTCCCACCACAGACGGACGGCCAGCCCAGACGGCAGGGCTCCCACCACAGGTGCCTGTTCATACATTGTTGGGGAGTGTCTTCTCATACATGACTAGGGAGTCAAGAAGACAAGGTCCATAGAAGACAGCTGAGAGGCGAAGGACAAGTTACACCCCCAGTGGCCGCTGAGCTGACCCCTGGCACTAGCGACTGGCACGGAGGGTTCAGAGCAATGGGAACCCCAGGATGCTGAGGGAACATGGACTGCCCTCACCTCTGCTGCTCCCCCACACCCCCACATCAGGTGTGCAAGGAGGGGGCACAGGACAACATCCTAACCCAACGACATGGAACCGCGGAGTGGGAGACGGAGGGAGACAGGGCAGGGGCAGGTCCTTTGCTGGCCCAGCTGCTGCTTCTGAGAACTGTGGCAGCAAGATGGCCACAACCAGGTGCTCTGAGAATCCTGAGAGAACGCTGAATTTAGAACCTAAAACTAGGCCAGGCGCGGCGGCTCCCATCTGTGATCTCAGCACTTTCGGAGTTAGAGGCGGACAGATTGCTTGAGCCCAGGAGTTCGAGACTAGCCAAGACCCCTTCTCTACAAAAAATACAAAAATTGCCCGAGCCAGTGGTGGTGTACGCCTGTAGTCTCAGCTACACAGGAGGCTGAGGTAGGAGGATCTTGTGAGCCTGGAAGGTCAAGGCTGCAGTGAGCTAGCTGTGACTGCGCCACTGGACTCCGGTCTGGGCGACAGAGAGACAGACCCTGTCTCAAAACCAAAAAAAAGGCTCTAAATAACGGCTGCAGTGATGATTGCATTAATGACCAAAACCACAACAGTCAGTTCACAACCTTTCCCTGGCAGGACACTGAGCCTTGGGAAGGAGACTTACTTTTTCATTGTGACTATCTGACTTTTGCCTATCAAATAAAGTAACAATTCTTTTTTTTCCCTTTGACAGTCTTGCTCTGTCACCCAGGCTGGAGTGCAATGGCACAGTCTTGGCTCACTGCAGACTCTGCCTCCCGGGTTCAAGGGATTCTTCTGCCTCTGCCTCTCAAGTAGCTGGGATTACAGGTGTGCACCACCACGCCCAGCTAATTTTTTGTATTTTTGGAAGAGACGGGGTTTCACCATGTTGGCCAGGCTGGTCTCAAACTCCTGACCTCAGGTGATCTGCCCGCCTCGGCCTCCCAAAGCCCCTGCGTTAATTTTGATTTGTTGACATACTGAGTTAAAACGTTGTGTTCATTGCTCAGTTTCTCAGTATCCCTTAAATGGGACCCCAAGCTCAGTGTCCACTCGCCCCACACTGGGCCGGCTCTGGTCCCATGACCGCGATGCACGTCACCAAGGAGCAGCATGTACCTGGTCCCCAGACGCTGGCCTCAGCCCTGCTGGGAGCCTGGGATGGGCAGGATGCTCTCTGATTAACACCCAACTTTGCTACAGCTCACGCCTGAGAAACAGCAGCGGAGACCACGCTGGCAAGCCAAGCGGGCAACTGCTGCACTGTGTGCATTTTTTGCAGCGAACCCTGAGGTAGGAACACAGCACTGCTGCCGTCTCCGGTGAGCCTCAAACCGGCACCAGTTCCTGGGGCTCCACTGCAAAGATGGCACCTGCGTTCTGAATAGACACCTCCTCTTGACAGCACTCGGGCTCCCAGTGGTGGAGCCACATGTCTGAGAGAAGCTGTAACATCACCATTTGGTAAGAATCAACTTCCATCGAGTTCACAGCTGCCTACAAGAGTAGTTTTTTGTTTGTTTGAAGTAGAGACGGTTTTGCCATGTTGGCCAGGCTGGCCTCGAACTCCTGACCTCAGGTGATCCACCGCGCCCGGCCTACAGTAGCATTTTTTAAATGTACGCTCAACTCACTTCTTTCCAATGTTAGGAGTCATTTGGGGTGGACAGGCTGAGAACAGGCACAGGCAGTGAAACCCCACTGCATGGTGTGACCTTCCAGGAGTCACCCCAGTAGCAGCACCCGGCTCCGATGTGACACAGTCCACTCCTGTCTCCCATGCCCGAGCTTCTGCCCATCATCCTGGGACAGTCGCCTCCCACCTTACTCCTTGGATCATGACACTGGCAGGCTTTCCTCTCACATGACCTACAGACACAGGCGGGACCCCCCGGTCAGCTACAGACACAGGCGGGACCCCCCGGTCAGCTACAGACACAGGCGGGACTTCCCAGTCAGCTTTGGCCAAAGCCTGTGGACCCACCTTCATCACAGCCTCCGTGTGCTCCAGCATCCAGCCCACCAAGGCGTGGCCCGACTCGTGAAATGCAACCACTTTCTGTTCTTCCTTGGACAGGATCTTGCTCTTTTTGGCAGTCCCTGAAAGAATGCCAGGGTGTGAGCCGGGCGCGGTGCTCACGCCTGTAATCCCAGCACTTTGGGGGGCTGAGGCGGGCGGGTCACCTGAGGTCTGGAGTTTGAGACCAGCCTGACCAATATGATGAAACCCCATCTCTACTAAAAATACAAAAATTAGCCAGGCATGGTGGCAGGTGCCTGTAATCCCACCTACTCGGGAGGCTGAGGCAGGAGAATCACTTGAATCTGGGAGGCGGAGGTTACAGTGAGCCGAGATTGCGCCACTGCACTCCAGCTGGGTGACGCAGTGAGACTCCGCTCAAAACACAAACCAACTGGCCGGGCGCGGTGCCTCAAGCCTGTAACCTCAGAACTTTGGGAGGCCGAGACGGGTGGATCACGAGGTCAGAAGATCGAGACCATCTTGGCCAACATGGTGAAACCCCGTCTCTACTAAAAAAATACAAAAAATTAGCCAGGCTTGGTGGCGGCGCCTGTAGTCCCAGCTACTTGGGAGGCTGAGGCAGGAGAATGGTGTGAAACTCGGGAGGCAGAGCTTGCAGTGAGCCGAGATCACGCCACTGCAGTCCAGCTTGATCAACACAGCGAGACTCCGTCTCAAAAAAAAAAAAAAAACAACCAACAAAAAAGAATGCCATGGGGTGTGAGCTAGGCCCCGGGCTCTCCCTGGCTGGGCCCTCCTCCTGCCCCGTGTAGTCAAAGCAAGGCTCTCTCTGCACATCTGCCTCTAGCAGCTCTGTAGCCATGGCTCCGGACACCCAACTCAAAACTCTTCAGGTCAAAGAGCTGTTGAAGGAGGTCGTGATTTCTTCTTTTATAAATGTTACAAATATCAAAATAGCTCCTGCTGCTTTTAGGAACAAGTGCAACCCTCTGAGGAGTCTCTCCTCCTGCCCCAGGGTTGGGCGAGGTCCACAGGGTCGGGGCAGGGGTCACAGAACAGCAGCTTCTGACTTTCTGGCAGGATGGGCAGAGGCCTCCTCTGAGTATGGGCCTCCTGCTTACTCTCCCACTCCCCTCAGACCTGGCGGGGCAGCTCCCATCCCCATCACTTTCTGGATCCTCATGGCTTCCACTCATCCCTTCAGAGGCCTTTTGCCTCAGGAACAAGGCTTTTTTTGGTAAGAGACAGGGTCTCACTCTGTCGCCCAGGCTGGAGGGCAGTGGTGCAATCATGGCTCACTGTTGCTTCAACCTCCCGGGTTCTAGCAATCCTCCTACCCCAACCGCCTGAGTAGCTGGGACCAGAGGTGTGCTCTACCACCATGCCTGGCTAATACTCTTTTCTTTCTTTCTTTTTTTTGTTTCAAAACAGATGGGGTCTTGCTGTGTTGCCCAGGCTGGTCTCAAACTCCTGGCCTCAAGCAATCCTCCTGCCTCAGCCCCCAAAGTGCTGGTATTACAGGCATGAGCTACAGTGCCCAGCCAGGGACAAATGTTTGCATTAAATTTCCCCTGTTCAGTTTACTGGTGAGGCTTCACTTCCTGTCTCACATTTTCCACACATCTGTAAGTCTCCATTTTGTACAACTTGAATCAGCTCGTGGTCCTGAGCACTCAAGTACATTGTGCTACTGGAACCTTCCACCACCACTTTACTGCAAGGCTTTAAGTCCTAAGACACACTGGCTGTGGCCGATGAATTACTCCAACCAGAGCCGGCTACAGGACTATGTACAAAGGCACGAGACCACAAGGCGTACAAGACAGGCTTACCTGAAAACAAACGAGTGTGTTTCTAGTACGGACAAGTGCAGGCAGGCTGTCGACACCAGGAGTGACAAGCTCAGTTCGACAGGGATGGCACGGCCAAGCCTGCAGCCTGGGCACCAGGAGGACACCACGCTCAACCACCCATGCCAGTGGCCAGAGATGGGCACTTAGGGGCGTCTCTCCCACCCAGAAGCCTGAGCTCCCTGCACTCCCTGCACTTCCTTTAATCAGACCATTCAGGCATTTGACCGTGAACTGTACTGACCACTCCCCATTCCCTGTGCATACGGCTCGTTACCACATGCTCTCTCTTCTTTCTGCCGGACCCTTCACTTCTGCCTCAAGGGATCTGGGGGTGGAGGATGGCCCTCCCCACTCCCGGCGCCCTCCCTGCCCAGGATCTGTGAGTAGTAAGTCTTTGAACGTGTTTCCTATTGTGGTGGGGACTTAATTTGCACTTTCCACAAGGAAGAACCAGGGGCTGCCCAGGCTGGGTTTTCTCAGGCATGTGGGGGACACAGGGCAGGCCCCAGCACCAGAGCAATGGTCAGGCAGGCATAACCTGGACGTGAATCAGACAGGAGCCATGGGACGTCTGCCAGTGTAAGCAAGTTTCCTGGAGGGACTCCTGGACTTCGGATGGACATTAAGCTGTCCACTGGGTCAAAGATGCATCCCTTGAAGGGTGCAGAATAACCTTCATCTCCCCTGAGTACAGGACTACCGGCCGCCAGGCACTGGACCCGTTTAGCTGGGGGCTCTCAAGACTCAGGCTGTTCACACTAAAGATGAACACAGAGGACCCACTCTGCATCACACACGGGAAATGGCGTCCTGTTAGTATTTTCCTTTCTTCTCCTGGAGTCAGGGGTCTCGCTCCGTTGTCCAGGCTGAACTGCAGTGGTGTGATCACAGCTCACTGTAGCCTCAACCTCCTGGGCTTAGGCCATCCTCCTGCCTTGGTCTCCCGGAGAGCTGGGCTTACAGGCAGGAGCCCCCACACCCTGCCCAGGCTGCATTTTCTTTCAAGTGGCCTGTAGTTCCCACTCAGTCCTTCCTGCTTTGCTACTATGATCAAAAGCTTATCAATTTCCACATAAAAGTAAACGGTTACCAAAAATACATTTTGGTGAGACACAGGCAGCGCCAGTCCTCTGGACCCGCGGGGCGGGCGGGGGGAAGCCAGGCGTGTTTCACAGTGTCTGGCACAGCGGCTGCCCCACTCCTCTGCAGGGATCCACCGCCTTCCCACGCTGAAGCCCCGGGGACCTGCCAGAGGCACGTCTGCTAGGAATTCACTCAGACTGAGGGTGAGGGAACTCGGTTCTCGCAGGGACAGCTCGCAAGGGAGGCTCGTGCTCCTCAAACACCTGGGGCAAGAACCACTTCCCTTTTCAAACGTTCCCTGTGTCTCAGACTGACACTGTGGGTCTGAACTCCATTTCATGAGATGACTGATCACGTCTGGTTGTTGCCATCATAGCTACGGAAACCTCCAGCAGCTCCGATTCCCGGTTTAGTCCTGCTCGCCTCACACACGTCGCAGACCCCGCACTGAGCAGCCACAGAACAGCAGTCAGAGGCGGCCAGCCCACCCGTCACCAAAACTCATCTCCTGTTCCTACTGAGAGTCGGAGCCACGGGTTTCGCCAGAGGTCGCGCAGCAGATCCACACCTGTCCGCAGAGCCCCTCCTGCGCTGAAGGCACAGCTGTCCCTCCATGCCCGCGGGCGGCAGCAGCCCTCCGGCCCACAGTCAGTGGTTGGAGCTCAGCCCCCGTAGGGCCAGGCCTAGGCTGAGCCCACCACACCCAGGCCGGTAAGGCATGTTTAGTTTTTATTTCATTATTTTTATTTTTGGGGGGGAATTTTTTTTTTTTTTTCATTTTCTTTGGCAAGGCATTTTTATATTTCTGTTGGACGAGTGTCTACTCTTAGGTCTAAGTCTGTGATACTTTAAGGAAAAGTACCTGGCATCATAAAGACATGAGTTACACAGAACTGAAATGCAACGTGTGTTCCTTCCCGTGTGACGGCTCCCGGCCACTCAATCACAGGACACCCAGGCCTGGATCTGGCTCCATCCACCTCATCTCTAAATACCTGCCTGGGTATTTCTGGGGTTCAAGCCCTGCTAAGAACGGCCTTCACCAGGGCGCGCCCCCTGTACCTGCAAGGACGCGCTCCACGGCGTACTCGAAGTTGAGCGTGTGCACCGAAGTGTGTCCCTCCCGCGCTGCGTGCAGGGCAGCCTCGTTGCAGATGTTGGCGATGTCAGCCCCTGCCAACACAAACGACAGCCAGGGCACAGTGGGGTGGGGTTCTGCTCTCTATCAGGGCTTAAGAGGAGGAAGGGGCCCTCAAGGAAGAACAAAGATGGCCGGGCACGGTGGCTCACGCCTGTAGTACCAGCACTTTGGGAGGCTGAGGCAGGGAGATCACCTGAGGTCAGGAGTTGGAGACCAGCCTGGCCAACACGGTGAAACCCCGTCTCTACTAAAAATACAAAAATTAGCCAGGTGTGGTGTCGGCGCCTGTAATCCCAGCTACTCCGGAGGTTGAGGCAGGAGAAATGGTTGAACCCAGGAGGCAGAGGCTGCAGTGAGCCAAGATCACGCCACCGCACTCCAGTCTGGGCGACAGAGCAGGACTCTGTCTCAAAATAATTAATTAATTAATTAAAAGGAAGAACAGAGAGAGAAAAGAGACCAAGAACCAAGAGTGCTGGTGAGAGTGTGTGGGAGAGAGGCAAGGGGAGCTGGCACCAGCAGCAGAGGTGGGGAGTGGCAGGCACTGTGACCACGTTCCACTGAGGCCATTTCACAGACGAGACACAGAACCGCCAAGCTCCGTCTGCCCTGACACCCGTCTCTCTCCTCCCAAGGGCAGTTCCACACCCCATCTTGTGACATTCCACCTAACAGCTCGTGGGCATTGATGGCAAAGAAATTAAAGGCTCTCAGTATCCACAAAATTCTAGTGAAAGATCTTAACAGACAATCAAAGGGGAAGTTGATCTCAATAAAAGGGAGTTTTGTTTACATTGTTTTAAAATGTAAGCCACGCAGAAAAAAGCGTCTTGATGTACGATTTTTTTTTTTTTTTTTTTTTTTTTTTTGAGACAGAGTCTTGCTCTGTCGCCCAGGCTGGAGTACAGTGGCCGGATCTCAGCTCACTGCAAGCTCCACCTCCCGGGTTCCTGCCATTCTCCTGCCTCAGCCTCCCGAGTAGCTGGGACTACAGGCGCCCGCCACCTCGCCCGGCTAGTTTTTTTTGTATTTTTTAGTAGAGACGGGGTTTCACCGTATTAGCCAGGATGGTCTCGATCTCCTGACCTCGTGATCCACCCGTCTCGGCCTCCCAAAGTGCTGGGATTACAGGCTTGAGCCACCGCGCCTGGCCACGATTTCTATTTCTACAGCTTGACAGAGACTGTGAGGGTCAGAGGGAGGCGGCTTTGCCGGCACTGCGTCGTCTGACCCCAGGTCTGACGGGAAACGCCGGGATGACTGGTCACACTGTGTGGAGGCAAACGTACCACCACTATCTCGAGTCAAGCACAGTCTGCTTTTCCACCCCTGGGGCAGAGGAAGGAGTGCGGGTGCCGTCTTGACCTCCTGCCATCCCACATGCACATCAGCTCCCACCCAGGCCTGTACTGAGCAGGGGCCCCCAGAAAAGGCAGCGCCCACCCTACACAGGAGGCCTCGACGTTGTGTGCACAGGAGAGATCCCCGGCCCTCAGGATGTGACGCTGCTCAGGCTGTGGCTTGAGAACATACCGCTGAATCCTGGTGTCAGCTCTGCCAGACGTTGGGAGTAAAAGGTGCTGGACTGGGTCAGCTTCAGGCTCTTCAGGTGCTGCTCAAAAATCTCCCGCCTCTCCTGCCAGAACCAGGGGAGGAGGACAGACCGTTGCGTTCACGCCCAGTGACTGTCGCAGGCGCTGCATGTTTGTCTGTGGCGGGAGAGGGGGGTCCCCGACGCGCCTGCCCTGAGGACAAGCCTCAGCTTCCCAAGGAGCTGGGATTACAGGTGCGCCATCACGCCTGACTGAGTTTTGTATTTTTAGTAGAGACGGGGTTTTGCAATCTTGCCCAGGCTGATCTGGAACTCCTGGCTTCAAGTGATCCACCTGCCTCGGCCTCCCAATGTGCTGGGATTACAGGCGTGAGCCACCACGCCTGGCCATGAGCAGCATTTTAAACATGAACAGAACGTTCTTGTATGGCCGGTCCGGTGGCTGACACCTGTAATCCCAGCACGTTAGGAAGCTGAAGCCGGCAGCCTGGCCAACATGGTGACATCCTGTCCCTACTAAAATACAAAATTAGCCAGGTGTGGTGGTGCACGCCTGTAATCCCAGCTACTCGGGAGGCTGAGGCTGGAGAATCACTTAAAGCTAGGAGACAGAGGTGAGTGAGCCGAGACGGCGCCGCTGCACTCCAGCCTGGGGGATAGAGTGAGACTCTGTCTAAAAAAAAAAAAAAACACGTTCTTAGAAGCCGAGGTGGGGATCACCTGAGGCCGGGGTTCAACACCAGACTTGCCAACACAGTGAGACCCCGTTAAAAATTAGCCGCCACGGTGGTGCCCGCCTGTCGCAGTCCCAGCTCCTCAGCCTGAGCTCCGAAGGTCGAGGCTGCAGTGAGTGGTGATCGCAGCACTGCACTCCAGCCCGGGTGACAGCGCAACACCCTTTCTCTAAAAATTAAAAGAAAAAAATCAAAAAAGAGAGCCGCCCTCCCCTGGAGAAGCAGCCGCAGGAAGGGCTTCCGCTCTGCCCTTCACTCTCCATCTCAACAGAGGCCGAGCACCGGCTGAGGCATCAGGGCAGCTGCCTGTGTGAGCCCAGCCCTGCTCCCCAGGCTGCACTGACACACCACGAACCTACCAGCAAACCCCGAGGCCCTCTCTCCAAACCCTCCCCTCCATGAGCTGAACTCCTGCTCCCTCAGGGCGGCAACCAAGGCCCTTTGGCCAGGAACCAGAGCCCTGTGACAGAGGAGGGAATCAGGCAAGAGGCCTCAGAACTTCTACTCCCACCCCAATTTCAGGGCAGCTGCACAGTCCACATCTCCAGAACCCACGCTCTGGATGGAAGGAAATGATGCCGCACAAGAATAAAGTTTCCCATGATTTTTCCTCCTGGATTTTGTTTCAAAGGATTTGCTATAAAAACCAGACTGATACCCAGGATAAAAGGAAAACTAATAGCGGGTGAAAAGAACTGCAAAGCCCCCAGCAGTGAGTGCAGCAGGTGGCAGGTCTGCTGGGGGCCTGCGGCCCACATGGGGGCCGCGCTGGACAGTGCCAGCACCTGCGGGGCAGCAACAGGCTTCACACCAACAAGTGTCTTAGAGGAGAGCCCAGACCACCCAGGACAAGTGAGGGCGGCCCAGGTGGAGTGGGAGAAGCTGGGGTCCTGGCTCTGACCTGCAGTGTGGGCAGATCAATGAAGACGTGCCGGTCCAGTCGGCCTGGCCTCATCAGAGCACCGTCCAAAATGTCAGCTCGGTTCGTGGATGCCAGGACGATGACATGGTCTGTGGTGCCCATTCCTGAAGGGACAGACAGTGGCCCTGAGGGTGGGGGTCCTGACACAACAGATTTCCCCTGCAGGTTCCCCTTCAGGATACAGGAGGGAGAGGGACCCTCCCCGCCCCAAGGCCCAGAGAGAAAGGAACACCTGGTTCTTCTGTACTAGGAGCTGTGATCCTTCCCTCATCGCTCCCAGCCAACATCACCAGGAGGAACAGGAATGTCCCTATTTTGACAAGTGATAACAGCACACCATCCTGGGGCTGGCTACTGAGGCAGAACTGTCCAGGCCCTCCTGGAGCTCCCACGGCATCCTGGAATGTCCCCGTCTCATGGTGCCACCTGGGAACCGTCCTCACAGCCGCCCCCCAACCCCATCATTATTAGTGTGACTTTGTTACATTTTAGCTAACACTCGGCTTTAAGCTGTGTCTTTGAAACATTTTATCTTCAACGCCTGGCCTTAAGTCCTGGGTTTCAGGCTTGAGGTTTGTCATCGGAGAATTTAAAAGTGAGCCCAGAAAGGATCACTCATTCCCAGTGTCTGTGAACCTTGACTGGCCCCTGATGTGAATAAATCAACTGTGAGATGATTATGAAGCTGCTGGGAACACCTGACTGGATGCTTGTAAGAACATTCAGGTGTTATGATGCTGTGATATTTCTCTGAATTTAAACAAATGTACTCAGAGCATGTAAGATTCAAAACTTTGGGTCTGCTTTCAAAGAATCCACTTGCCTGGGCACGGTGGCTGATACCTGTAATCCCAGCACTTTGGGAGGCTGAGGCAGGTGGATCACGAGGCCAGGAGTCCGATACCAGCCTGGCCAAGATGGTGAAACCCAATCTCTACTAAAGATACAAAAAATTAGCCGGCCATGGTGGTGGGCGCCTATAATCCCAGCTACTCGGGAGGCTAAGGCAGGAGAATCGCCTAAACCTGGAAGGCGGAGGTTGCCGTGAGCTGAGATGGCACCATTGCAATTACACTCCAGCCTGGGCTAGAGGGCAAGACTCCGCCTAAAAAAAAAAAAAAGAATCCACTGGTGGCCGGGCACGCACAGTGGCTCACGCCTGTAATCCCAGCACTTTGGGAGGTTTACACGGGTGGATCACCTGAGGTCAGGAGTTTCGAGACCATCCTGGCCAACATGGTGAAACCTCGTCTCTACTAAAAATACGAAAATTAGCTGGGTGTGTTGCACGCCTGTAATCCCAGCTACTCGGGAGTTTGAGGCAGGAGAATCACTTGAACCAGGAGGCGGAGGTTACAGTGAACCGAGATTGTGTCACTGCACTCCAGCCTGGGCTACAGGGCAAGACTCTCAAAAAAAAAAAAAAAAGGAAAAGGTCCACAATAAACAGCGTTGAAAGTAAAGATTCGACGAGACCTCCCGTGACTAATGTAAGAAACCCTAAATAGGCCGGGTGCGGTGGCTCAAGCCTGTAATCCCAGCACTTTGGGAGGCTGAGACGGGCGGATCACGAGGTCAGGAGATCGAGACCATCCTGGCTAACACGGTGAAACCCCGTCTCTACTAAAAAATACAAAAAACTAGCC